CACTGTGATTGGATGGCTTGAAATCCATCCAATCACAGTGCTCTGTGTCATTTTACACAGCGTGGGAAAGTTCTTTTGGATCTTCCCACGCTGTGTAAAATGACACAGAGCACCGTGATTGGATGGCTTGAAATCCATCCAATCACAGTGCTCTGTGTCATTTTACACAGCGTGGGAAAGTTCTTTTGAATTTCCCCACGCTGTGTAAAATGACAAAGAACACTCTGATTGGCTTAAACCCACCAATCAGAGTGTTCTTAGCCTAATTGCAGGGCGGGGCAAGGCTTTATAAGCCTTCCCCCGCTCTGCGGAGCTCAGTCTGCGCGGAGCCCTCCATGGATGAAGATGGATTATTTTTTTGCGCTCGGGTTTTTTTTTTTTCGTCGGGTTTTTTTTTTTGCGCTCGGGATTTTTATTTTATTTTCAATTCGACGGTTATGATGGTTTTTTATTTGGCCTTTTTTGGGGCTGAAAAAAGAAGATTTGAGAAAAAAGAAGACGTCGAATGGTAAGTTTAATTTTATTTTACAGGTTAGTTATTTTATCCCCCCCTCACTATTTTTTAGGGTGAGGGGGGTAGGTACTTGTTTTTTTTTGGGTGGGGGGTGGGTGACTAGGGGCTTGGGGACCCCTAGTCACCTTGGGGGGGGTAATTGACTTAGGGCCCCCACCCGCCGCCCAGGGGTGGGGGCCGAGGGGGGGAGGACAGTAGGTCCCCCCCCCTCATTATCTTCATGGCCCCCACCCGCCGCCCAGGGGTGGGGGCCGGGGGGGGGGCAGTAGGTCCCCCCCCTCATTCTCACTATGGCCCCCACCCGCCGCCCAGGGGTGGGGGCGGGGGGGGAGGACAGTAGGTCCCCCCCCATTCTCATTATGGGGGGGTGGGGGGAGTACTGCCCCCCCCTCATTCTCACTGTTTAGGGGTGGGGGCCAATAGTTTTTTTTTTTTGTTTTTTTTTACAGTGAGCAGCCACAGGCCGCTACTCGCGGTATAGCTAGTAGGGGCATTTGGGAGATTTTTATCTCCCTTGTGCTATTATGGGGGTCATATTGACCCCCATAGAGTGAGAGGGGGACCTGGGGGAGCTTATGAAGTGGTGGGGAGCACTGCTCCCTGCCGCTTCTATAGTTACATATTACAAGGAGGGAGCTGCATGCCGGTAGCTCCCTCCTTGTAATAAACTGAACGAACAAACAAACACTGATACATTGTGTTTGTTAGTTTGTTCGGCTGATATTTCTATTCACTCATTCGTCTGTCTGATGGATGAATGAATAGATGAAATTCCCGTTCGCATGTCCAGGTGTTTCACTGGGCATGTGCGGGAATCTCACAGTCTGTCTAGTGTGGGCTGATGACGTGTCCCTGAGGGACTTCACCTACCCACACAAAGATGGCTGCGCCCTGAATCAAGATCGGGGCAGAAAATAAGGATTAAAAAATAGGTAATGTGGGGGGCTTAGGGGCATTTGGGGGTGTCTAGGGGGTCAATTGGATGTAGTGGAGACGGGAGAGGGGTTAAAAAAAAAACAGAATTCGGCATGACAGTGCCGCTTTAAGGACTATTAGGGGGTTGGACAGTGGCATGTCCACCCTTTCCCTTTAGAGCTCTGTGTAGCTATCTGTCAGTGTGCATCTGTGTGTCTTATCTGCATGCGTGTATATGTGAGTGTATGTGTGTATGTGCATACATCTCAGCAGTTTGGCAACATTACACACAAATACACCCCTGCATTTAAATGTCAACACTACATATGCGCCACATGCGCTAGGTATGCCCTTGCCCTGCCGGCTTTTAAAATTGCAACAAGTGGGGGTATTCTGAATAGCTCTGTACAGAGATGGAGGGTTTTGCTCGCTTTAGAACAGGACCACTCAGAGTTAAGTAAATTACCTTGACAGAGTTTAATTGAATGTTCAGTATGGAAATGACAATGCTATTCTTCATAAAAGTGAACTAAAACACACATCAATGAATTAAACATTTCCAAGTCATGGCAAACTCAATTTTAACATTGAGACTTAAGAAGAAACTGAGTTTAAAGAAACAAGATAAGCACCATAACC